GTAGTTTCCATTTCACATTACAGGATAGTCAGACAGGAGGTTATTCCCGATCCCAGGGTCCTTCCATCTCCCCAGGTACTGTCCTCATCAGCCTGGAGGAAGCCAGCTTCTTCCTCACTACCACTGCAGGCTGTGGGGACAAAAACGGCCAATTCTTGCCGAGCAGGGGACACTGAAGTTGTGCCCTTCACATTCACACATATTACAATGTGAAATTTTTATCAAGAGACTGGAGAGCATGAGCCTGCCTAGACCATTAACTACTATGGAACAAACAGAGAACGGTGCTATGGATTGGATTTTAACTGTCTTCCAAAGGCCCATATGTGAAAGGGTTGGCCCCAGCCCATGGAACTACTGGGAGATGGTGGAACCTATAGAGGGGGGGTCTTAGTTGGAGGAAGTTAGGTTAGCGGGAGTATACCCTCTCAGGGAATACTGAGACTCCAGTCCCTTCCCCTTTCCCTCTTTGCTTTCTAATCATTATGAGAGAAGCAGCTATCTCTATCACTCTCCAGCCATAATATTCAGCCTTACTTCAGGCCCAAAGGAATGGGGGCATGGGGACATGACCATGGAAACTGTAGGTCACAGTAAGCCTTTCTTCTTTATAAGTCTGTTATCTCAAGTGTTCTGTTACAGTAACTCAAAGCTGACTAACTAAAGGGGTTTGTAGTAGAGAAAAACAAGCTCCCTACTACAATAATAGGCTGCCCTGAACTTTTTTTATTTACGAAATAATTTTCAGATAAAAATTAGTGAACTCATGCTAAATCATTAACATTCAAATACAGCCTGGTGAAATTTGTCAGATGAAATTTTATTAAAAGATATTTTTATTGACTTAATCCTATAATCTCTAAAACAGAATCAATTTCTAATCTCTGCCATGTACTTCAGGCACATAACATAATTTCTTCCTAACCTAAACACTACCCAACTGGCTCTCCCCAGCCTCCCAACACTAAGTCTATTTATTAGCATTCTGTATACATTCATTATATGGAGAGATGTATGAATAGATACAAACATCTATATGCATATTAAATTCAGTTATGCCGTAATTTGGCATAACTTGATCATGATTTCCCTAATTTAAAATAATATTCAACCTGTTTAGCATGAAGGCGTTCTCTCCTTTAGCTGCTGTTTCTCCACCTCGGTCAGACAGCATCTTCTCACCACAACTCTTCTCTAATTGTCCCAGGTCATCTCAAATTGGCAACCATTACTTTCTCAAAGGACCGAATTACATTTGCACTAACACTCTAAAAACACATAAGCCGTAGTTCAGTGTTTCGTGGCAGACATCACATATTTCCTTCCCCTAACTCCACCTACGTAGGCCACCGGGGTAAGCTTTTCCTTAGACTGTTTTCTGTCTTAAAGATGCTGATTCTCAGAAGATTCAGTTTGGTTACTGACTCAGATAGCGACTCGGTGACACACAGGAACTAGGAGTGATAGAGCAGCTGCTCCATAGATCACTAAAAAAATCCATACAATCAATGTTACACCCTTGAATTTAATTCAAAATTAGGTTGGAAGTCAGCACTTGCAGCAGGTAAAAAGATGCTTCATCCCCAGGGACACACAGCGCTGCAGGCAAGGATGCTGCCAGTCCTGGTGACACCCTTCATGGGGCCAGCCAGCCACCATACATGCCTATATTGATTTGCCAAGTCAGCACGGTTATTATTTTTCTAAAAAGAAAGGAAAAAAAAATGTACAGAAACACAGAGACCCTGAACTTCTTCCAGCACAGAATGCTTCAGATACAGTAGCAAGGAGTCCTGCCGCCACAGGTGAGGTGTGACTTTCCGAGGGAAGTGGATAATTTTTACTTGATGGTGAATCATTAAAAGTGAACCAGATGATTAAACTTAATGGAACAGCCACATTAAACTGAAATTAGTAAAAACACGCCTCGGGCAGGCTACAACCTTTTATTTGTTGTTGTTTAACTTCTGTCTTTTACAGTGGCCGTGATGAATGACATCACAAAAGCAAAAATCCAATTAAAATCTAAGTGCTCAATAAACCCCTAATGTCTGGTCGTCGCCACCACTTTCGTGGGCACTGCAGGCTTCTGTTCCCGCTTTTCCTCTAGAAAGGACTGGCCCTGGGGAGCTCCGTGGAAGGGGAGGAGAATGGGGAGAAAAGAAAGGCGCTTGGAGGTTTCTGCACACCGGGTCAGACCCAATAAAGCTCTTTGTGGGGGGAGAGAAGAGGGCAGCAGGTTAAATTGTTTTATTATCAGGCAATGCTTGAGTGAAGAGGTACATCTCCCTACTAGTTTTCAAATATTGATAAATCAGAATTGTGATCTGCAGAGCAATCCCCGTCCGCACCCTCTCTCTGCATCTCCTTGCGCCTTTGTATCGTCTCGGGTGTTTGTTCTATAAGTCATCGAAATGGTCTCTCCTGACAGCTAAAAATAAGTTTCTGATTACTTTTACCTGAATAAATCTTGTGATCAGATGTGGTATTCACCTACTAAGTGTGCAACAATTACATATTGAAGTGATGAAAGAACTGGACAAGGAGAGTGTATAATCTAGTAGAATGCAGAATATCATAAATCACATGTGAAGACAGCAAATTGCCACCAGGTAGAAGAATATAAGCTTTTGATAACAGATTATTTTACCTCAGAGATATGGGGTGCTTGCAAAATTAGGTTTTCCAGGTCCTCAAAACAAAGTTTTCAAAGTCAGAATAAGAGCAAAACCATGACAATTATGAGCTAACAGAGAACAATAGCATTGATATCTTTAGTTTGGAAGGTGCTTTGTAATTTATAAAACATACACCGAGTTTTTAATGCATGCTTACGTGGCAATTAATGCAGTATTTGTATCTGGTCTCTAATGAGACCTCCACAGCAGCTTTATTGTTGAGCCCTTATTATCCTCATTTTACTGAGGGTCCTTGCTCAGAGAGGTTAATTGGCTCTCCTGTGGTCTTGCACTCAGTGAGGGAAAGCAAATGAACGTGACCTATTCTTGGGACTTGCACTTGGCACTCCCAACCCTGAACCAGGCTGCTGACCACAGCTGCCCTGGAGCAAGGATCTGCAGGGCAGCGGTACTGCTTGCTTTACTCATGAGTTAATGAAATGGCTCTTTAAGAGCACTCTTCGGTCATTAGGATTTGACAATGGAGAGTTAAACTTTCCCCAGTGGCTCTTTCTATGTCATCATGGTTTCAACGCTTCCTCCTTAGCATATCACATTACACAAATCATGGCATACTCTTGTTTTACATTTCTTATTGCATTTGTCTCACTTCTAAGCAATTTCCTCCCCATTCACATTTATCTTCCATTATTCCTGCCAAATAGCTTTCAAAGCTACTAATTGTATGAATAATATTCTCATTCCCAAACTCCATGATTCGCTAGCTGTGGATGTGTGGCACTGGACATGGTTTCTCTACATCCCAAAATGAGAAAGTTGCACCGAATCATCTAGAGGGCTCCTTCTTGCCCTCAAATTCTAATCTTCTGACACTCACAAATTTATTGGGCCACAGGAAACTTTCTCTCTCCATTTTGTGCAAATGACATCCCATGGAACAGTTTTAGGAAGGCTCCTTAGAGCATTTGCTAAGCCCCTTTTTGCCTGGAGAGTCGATTTCCGGATGTGTCATGGACGCCACTCTGAGCATTCTATGTGTTAACCGTGAGGATGCAGAGTGTCACCTGTTGCTGTTGCCTTTGTTTGGGGAACACAGCTTCTCTGTCTAGATGGAGCTGAAATAAAGTAGAGATTCACAGCCCTCCCACTAGGAAACCATGTGTCATTGATACCGATGACCCAGGTATTAAATGGTTCTGCTCAACAAAAAGCACTTTTAGAAAACTTGCAAATAGATGATATGAAAATCTAAACCTGTGCTGGGTGGCAATACAGAATTAAGGAAAGCACCAGAACTCAACACTGTGAGAATGATCTTCGGGGTAGGAAAGGTGGATCACTTTTCCAGGTCAGGATCACCACCTCTGTTTCTGTGGTATCCTAGCTTTCCTTATCTCATGTCACTTGGGAGTGACTCACCAGAGCAGAGCCCCTGCTCAATCTCCCTCAGGAGCTGGGAGACCCTACCTTAGAAAGTCATCTGTTTCAACATTAGGCTGGCTCCTCGTGTCAGACAACCCTTTCCTAGATTACACTAAAATCTGAATGTCAAATGTTTACTCTTCCAAGTGACCTCATAAATTATCTAGTGTGCTAGTTTTCAAGGTATTGCTCATGGCAGCACTGAAGATGTCTCTCAAATGCTTTGAGTTGAATTTTGTAAATAAATGACTATCACATCTTCCCAGAAAAGGTATTATAATCTCCATCACCAAAGACCCAAGGAGTTTATCTAGTTTTCTTAAATTCACCCAGAGGCAGAATGTACCCAGGTCTCACTGATTGGAAAACCAAAGATTTTTTTCAATAGTGTATCATTTGGGCTGGGATTGTGGCTCAGTGATGGAGCGTTTGCCTGGCATGTGTGAGGCACTGGGTTCAATCCTCAGCACCACATTTAAAAAAAAAAAAAAAACTGAGTGAATAAGGTATTGTGTCCATCTACAACTAAAAAATATATATATATTTATTTTAAAAAATAGTACATCACTTATATCATATGTTTGTGTGCATGCAAGTAAGAATGTATTAGTAGAATCCGAAAACTGTTTCCTTCCAGCCAGCCTTATATGTCCTTGGGCATCTTAACTACTTCTCTGTCCTTTACCTTTCCCTTCTCCAAAATAAGAAGGTAACTAAATTTCCCTGCTCTGTTTTAGTTCTAGAAAGTTCTTTGATTATAAGGAAGCATGTTCATTAATATATGGCATTTGCTATTGAGGGGTTATGTAAATAGCAAGGAAAAAAGTAGCTGTATGCCTTAGAAAGCATTAAATGAACGTAGCATGCTCATAAAAACAAACCAGTTTAGGATGACAAGCTTGACTTTTACTTTCTTTAATTTTTTTTTCCCTACACTAGTTACATTCAGACCAGGATAGAGGAGATGGATCACTTAAATATATCCTTTCAGGAGATGGAGCAGGAGATCTCTTCATTATCAATGAAAACACAGGCGACATACAGGCCACCAAAAGGCTGGACAGGGAAGAAAAACCCGTTTACATCCTTCGAGCACAAGCTATCAACAGAAGGACAGGGAGACCCGTGGAGCCAGAGTCTGAATTCATTATCAAGATCCATGACATCAATGACAATGAACCAATATTCACCAAGGACGTTTACACAGCCACTGTCCCCGAAATGTCTGATGTTGGTGAGTGAGATGTGACTTCAACCAAGAACTTGTTGGGGATCCACCAAGTTAAAAAGGGTAGGAGCTATGTGTACCGAGTTGAAAGAGTCGAGATGCTATTACACTTTCAAACAATCCATATGTCCTTTCTGTAAGTGCATCATGCTGCCTAATGCTAGTTCCATCTCATCTGGTGGTTACGGTTAAGGAAACAGCATTTCCTCTCATGATGAGGCTCAGCCGGGGTGAGAGGTTAGAAGTGAGACCATTAGATCTGCTTTCTCTCCGCCCTGTACTCCCTCTGTTTCTTGGACTGAAAGACAGCAGTCTTCTCCATTTCTCTCCATCCACATGAATATTAGGCTCCAGGGGAATACCTCCCCAATGAAATGAATTTATAGTTCAGTCTGAACAACAGTGTGGTTGTTTTAAGTAATTAAATCTGGAAAAGATTTCAAGAAAACTTTAAAAAAAAATCCATAAATAGGGGTTAGGGTTGTAGCTCAGTGAAAGAGCACATGTGGATCACTGGACACCACTTAAACATAAAACAAAGGTATTGTGTCCATCTACAACTAAAAAATAAAAACATGGTATGTGGGGGCATATCCTTTTACGAACAACTGGAAATTGAGAGACTTTCATGACATTAATGTGTAAAATTAATATCGTATGCACAATTTCCCTGCCAATTTTAATTTTAGTGTGTGTGGATTTTATTTGTTAGATTGTTAAATTGTGAGAAGGTAAACAGGATTTAAATTCAGGAAAAAATCCTAGTGATGTCATTCTTTGAAACATTAAAATACTTCATGGAAGACAGTAGCAAATTCTAAACCACTCATGTACAGGGTTGTTTTTATTTTCACTCTGTCATATTCAGAAGAGCTGAAATTACATAATAACTTTTCTATGATTCTGTCAGTCAGATTTCAGAGAGATTGTAGTTCACAGATCCAAGACTTGAAAAATATCCAATCCAGGGAAATGATTTGTAAAGCATCTAAATTTTCGCCTGAGGAAATTGCTCATCTCGTTGCTTGAAGCCACTTTGCTTTGTTAGAAAAATCATAAGCCACCACTAAAGCAAAGAAGGAGTTGGAATTCTTTGAAGAGGAAGATTTCTTAGGAAGTATAATATTTCTTAGGATGGATATAGATATATATAGATAGAGACGTAGATACAGATTCCTCTAGATAAGAAAGGGAAAAAGAATTAATGAAAGACAGCTTTGTCACCAGCACCACCCAGTCATGCACTGCACAACTCCAGGGCCTGACATTCATTTTTGAAGCCATGATAGCCAATTTACAAATACATGGAAGTAATTGACAGTGACATACATTTCTTGAGAAAGGGAAGGTTGTTTTTTTTTCTAATTTCTATGCAGGCATAATAATGTGATATTCATCATTATAAATTAATATGCAATTAGTATAATATATAAAGGCATCTTAAAGAAATTTCATTAAGCGAGTGGAACAACATCAGGGAGGTGAAAATGGATTTTTGGTACCAAACAAACCTAAATTCGAAACCATCTACACTAATAACCAGCAGTGTAGCCTTGGGCAAATTACTTGATTTCTCTGAGCCTGAGTTGTTTGATTCTCCAGCTCTGTATCTATAAAAAATAATGATAATAAATGTCAACTCCTAAGGGTTATCCTGAGGCTTAAATAAGAAAACAGGTTCAGACCCCCTAGTACAATCTCTGGCAACTAATAGGCACTTAAAACATCTACCTAATCACATTCCGAAAGCAGTCAGATTTTGTATTAATGCAAATAAGAGCCTGATGTTTGTTGACTTCTGTTAGTTCTCTCTTTAAAATCCCGTGATGCTGGCGTTCTCTCCTCCTCCTTTGCCAAATTACAAGGTGGGTGCTGTATCTCATGCAGCAGCACGAGACATCCAGAGCATTCAACCCTAACAGAGAACAATTTATCTGTTCAATAACTGAAATTGGTTAGGTATCGCAAAAGCAACTTGACAACTCTGATATTCCCTAGATGGAACTTCTCTGCCCTTTTCATGGATAGGAAGACTCCAGCAGTATGCCCACTGCTTGCCTAATAGGATTATCAAAAGCAGCCATAAAATGGTCTTAATCAGGGGGGTTCATTCTTTTTGAAAGTCACAAAGCCTTTTGAAAGTGAAATAAAATATGTGCATGTTCTTTCCAGTGAAACACACATGTAAGCATACACATGAAAATTAGCACGGGGTTTCAGGGCAGGTAAGGATACTTTGAAAGTTTTAAGGTGACTCTTGTCCCTAAATTAAGAATGCCAGCCTAAACTACATTAGTCTTACTTGTATATGTAATTATAATCATTGTTTGAAATTACAGCTGCCAGATGTTTATAAATTCATTCTTTATCTAATCTTAAGTACCTCTTAAGGTTCAAGGTCTTTCAGGATCTTGGAATTACCAGATAAAATATTTTTTTTAGGATGGTAAGTAACAGGAAACCCAACTCAAAGTAGTTTAAAGAATAAAAGTATTACTGGTCACATTACTTTAATCCAAAAGTAAACTGGGCTTTGTACAGATCTATGGGAATTCTGGGTGTTTCTTGGCTGTTTTTAAGCTTATACAGCTTTGTCCCCAGGCTGGCCTTTCTCAGATCACAAATAGCTGTTTGTGGCTTCACATCAGCACCTTATAGTCCAAGAGACAAAGCATCAATGATGCAGGACTTCTAGCAAAATCATGAGTGGCCCAAGGAATAGAAAGCTCCTCAATTCATGCCTATCTGTGGACAAAGTAATGCAAGTTGCTAATTGATTTAGTCCTGAATGACTTGAAAAAGTCACTACAGCAATAATCCAGTCAGATCCATCATTGGAGATGGGTTGGGAGGAGTTCCACTCAAGGTCATGATCACTCCATGCTTCTCTTCAACCTAATCCTCACAGTATTTATTAGTTGGTTACACCCCTTCAGAGTTAAGAATCCAAGGCTTTTTAACCTAGCATCCTACTGAAGTTCACCTCTTTCTTGTCATGATAACTTCACACAAATTAAGGTCATGCTTTCTTTTTATGTGTGTATCAAGAAATATGGAAAACCCTTAATTTGTTTTCAGTTTATGCTTCTGTGTCATTACAGGGACATTTGTTGTCCAAGTCACGGCAACCGATGCTGATGATCCAACTTACGGAAACAGCGCCAAAGTCGTCTATAGTATCCTACAGGGACAGCCCTATTTTTCAGTTGAATCAGAAACAGGTAAGAATTCATTTTTGGCCTTCTTTTTTATTTATTTTTTTATAATCTATAATTTTAATTGACATGCTCAGCTGAGCTAGCATATTTTTTAATAAAAACAATCAGCATGATTGAATTTTCTTGTATTCTTCTGCCAAACACTAATGATATATTTGTAAGCATGACATCCGGATCATTTTAATCAAGAAACCTGACAATGAACCTTTCATCTAATGTATTTATATAGGGCAGATTCAGAAAAATTATGCAGTCTATTCTTTTTCTTCCAGTTTGGGGTGAAGCTAAAAGATTAACCCTTTCTGGTCGGGCTATTTACCCATATTCTGGTTCTTCTGTTTCTAGCTATTGGGTAAGACTGCATCTCTCTCTTCTGCTCCGATGCTAGACATAGCCATGTGATTGATTGATTGATTGATTGGGGCAAATAAAATGTGGCAGTGATGCAGAGTTGGTGCACAACCTGCCACATCCCCCTCCTCTGTCCCAGTGATCCGGGAAACTATGTTGAGAAGGGTTTACCCTGGATGGCCAGTGTTGCCATGAGCAGAGCATCCCGCTCACCTCCCAGAGCATGGGCAAAGCTCACACTTCAGTTGTGTTAAGTCCCTGAGATGTTGTGTTGTTTGTTGTTACATCATTGCCTAGCTCATCCAGATTTGGCCCTAATACAACAAAGCCTATCACCTTATAAAATCCTTCCTTCAACAACTCACTTTTCTGTATTTTTTTTTCCCACAGAATAGCATCCTATGTGATGATGATTTGGGTTTTTTACAGCATTTGTATTGTAGAGTAAATTCTACATGTATTTGCCAATTGTAAAAGGAATCAAGTTTCTTTCCTACATTTTTCAAACATCCATTATTATGGTAGAAATCCAAACCTTTCCAGGTTCCTACAAGCAGTTTGAAATCTAGGTATTAAAAGGTGCGATGAACTTGGGAAGAATTCCAAGGAGAAAGAAAATGTAGAATTGAAAAACAATAAGAAGGAAAAATTAGAATTATTCAGATAAAGGATAAAAAGCTAAGGAGAATCTCCTATATTTAATAGACAGGTACTATTATGTGGAGAACAGAAAGCACTGCACTTTGAAGTCAAGTCGATAGGAATAAAACTGACCTGGTGTCTGAAGTATTCTTGTTAAAAATTAAAATGATATTTTCAGCTTCATTACTTGTTAGGCACTGGAATGTGCAACCATAGAGGATTATAAAGTCTTCTCCAGTGATTTTTAAAAGAAAGTTAATTTAAGCATAAACCCTATATAGAAATCAGGCAAACTTTTAGAAGTTCTTTCAACTAATTATCTTATAACTGCCTAACAACAGAGACAAATTTAACCTAACTTTAAAATTGTTACTGTTGGGACCAGTTGAACTAATATTCACATAAGCTTTAGGAAAAACTAAATTCTCCAGGATCATATAATACGATAATTGTGAGAGAACCAATGCTGTGTATTCTTAACACCATAGTTTTGTGGTTTCGAAAAACCTCAGAACACTCATTATGGTAGGTGTATTTGAGGAGCAATTAGCCAGTTCAGTCATGCGGTACCCAGAAGTCAGCTCAGTTTCTTAACAATTTGCTCATAATGTACCTGAATATCTTTTATCAAGCAGCTACCATAACACACCTTTATATCATAGGTCAAGTTAGATTTTGCTGTACTTAATATTTATAGAACAGGCAGTCCATACCATTGCAGGATTTGACTTGTACTTGTGTTCATTCTTCTGTGTTACAGGCTTTTTTAAATGTGTCTCTCTCTCCCCTATGTGGTTGTAATATCCTTCAGTATAAAGGCTGTATATAATCATCTTTATATCACTATGACATCTGCATGGTGTTTTGCATATTGTGGGTGACAGTCTATGTTTGTTTGCATAAATAAATGATTCCGTAAAGTATTCTAAATGCATCCCTTTCCACTCCTAAATTTCACATCCATAGGTATCATCAAGACAGCTTTGCTTAACATGGATCGTGAAAACAGAGAGCAGTACCAAGTGGTGATCCAAGCCAAGGACATGGGCGGCCAGATGGGAGGATTATCTGGGACCACCACAGTGAACATCACGCTGACAGATGTCAACGACAATCCTCCTCGATTCCCCCAGAGTAGGAACATTTGATTGAAAAAGTTTCTTCAATGCCGTATCATAAACTCTGATTTCAAAAATGTTTATTTTCCATTTTCATTATTGTCAAAATTAGTGGACTTCATAATTAAAATTATGGCACTTTTATTAAAATTATTAAAATGAGTTGACAACACCACTTAAGCTCAGGAAGTGTGAACATTTATGTTCCTCCCTTGGTAATTAGCTGAGCGATTTCTGATATGGCTGTTGTAAAAACAGCATCATTATTTTCTTTTTCCTTATTAAAAAAGACTGCCAGAGACATAAATTTGCTTGCACAGAACATATGTATACAAGCATGCTGCTATTTGTTAGGAAAAACTTGTCTTTATGTTTTGTGAACTTAATCAGGCATGTAATCTCTTTTAAATCCTCACAAAGCTTCATAAGGAAAGGATTTATCATTTTCCTGTTTCTAAAAATATAACTGTGGAAGTAACTATGTACTTAATCCATTTGTAATCATAAATAGTTTTCTACATTATGGTTAATTGAGATACCAAACGCCGTCTATAACATCATTAACTCTTATGATTAGGCAGGAGGAAGAAACAACACTCATCAGTGCTGAGTTTGTATCAAGCATATGCTTGATTCTTTCACATAGAGCCGCCCAAGTGGGGACCAGTTTTAATGCATTTTCCTCCACGAACACCATCTCGTAAGAAAGTTATCTCAATTATTAAATAGAAAACCCACTTACTTCATCACAGCATTTTCTAAAAACTGTAGAATGGAGAATCACATAGATCATTAAAAAGTAGTTATATTTTTTTTCAAGAATTTATTCAGAGTTAGCAACATAGCAGAGTAGCTAATTTCTGATAAAAGAGGTAGAAGAAATGTTTTATGAGTGCTAAAATTTCCCCCAAGAAACCTGAAAATATCAAGATCACCAACATTTTTCCCAAAAATCTCCTCTTCAGTGTGGCAGTCCCCTGGGGAGGGTTATGTTGGGCTTCACCAGCATCTTGGTACCAAGGGGACGTGTAACTACTCTTTCTTCACTTAGCCTGTGTCTTGTTATGTGACATTGCATTGAATATAGAAAGGTGCAGGAGGCCCTTAAAATGGAAGTTGAAGACATTAGAGAAACACTTAACCCATTTTATCATTTTACCAAGGATGAACCCAATACTCAGGAAATTAATATGATTCAAGAACCCTATTTTAGTGGTGGCACAGTCTGGTTTTGGTTTTTCCAAAACCATTTGCATGAATGGTTGACAGAGTGTAATATATGACAATAGACTAACTTTCTGTTTCACTAGTTTATTTTTGTTTTAGTTTTAATTAAATGATGTCCTTTCAGATCTAAACTGAAATTCACAGGTAGTCTTCTTAAACTAATTTTGTAAGAAGAGGATATAACGAAAATTCCTATCTACAAACTAGAAGTTTTGAATTAATAATACAAACATAATCATGGGAGAAACCTATGCATAGATAAAAATTATAATAAAATTTTAAAGAGTTGGTTATTAAAAATTTGCTTTATCACTCATTGTATTTATCTATATCCCTAACTCAGCAACTAAATCCAGCTATGTATATGAGTAAAAGGATATATTCTTTAGACATATTCATCAAATTGCTATGATTTTACTTTCACCTTCTGCTAATATTAGCAGAAAGAACTTTTTAAAAGAATACCTAGTAATTGACTTCAAGTCACAGTTCTGGCTAAGTCCTTCTCTCCTCTTTCTGATTGATTAGATTAACAGGGGGCATTGAAAACTTGTGGTTTCTCTTATAGAATTCAATCATTTTCATAATGACACCATAAACTTAGAAGCCTTGTTACAGAACAAGATAAATGTTCTCCATTTGCAAGGATGCAGATCATGAAATAGATGGGAGGAAAAATTTTTTTGTACCAGGAATTGAACCCAGGGGCACTTAATCACTGAGCCACATCCCCAACCCTTTTTTAAATATTTAACTTATTTAGAGACAGGGTCTCCCTAAGTTGCTTAGAACTTCGCTAAATTGCTGAGGCTGGCTTCAAACTTTTGATCTTCCTGCCTCAGCCTTCTGAGCCACTGGGATTAACAGGCATGCACCACCTGACCCAGCAGAAGAAATATTCTTAACAATCATGATAGTGAAGACATAAGGAGAATAGGGCACCATTAATTATTTTGAAGAAAGAATGAATCTGCCTCCATCCATGTCCTAAGAGACTCTTCAAAAATGGGTTTCGTTTTTACCCTAATCCCCGCCCTTATCCACAGTCTTTGCTTTTTGCAATTTCACTTACCCGGTGGGTGTCAACCACAGTCCAAAAATATTAAATAAAATATTCCAGCATCAACAACTCCTAAGCTTCAAATAACTGACTACAGTATAATTGTTATAATTGTTCTAGCTCTTATTATCAATTATTATTATCTCTTACTATGTCTCGTTTGTAAATTAAACTGATCATAGGTATGTATATGAAAAAACAGAACGTACTGGTTATAGGACTTAGTACTACCTGTAGCTTCAGGCATCCACTGGGGGTCTTAGAACACATTCCCCATGAATAAGAGATTACTTGTGACATAGCATTCTTAGTCTGTGTTTGACTCTCATCTCTCTGGTGATTAATAGGTACATATCAATTTAAAACCCCTGAATCTTCTCCACCGGGTACACCAATTGGCAGGATCAAAGCCAGTGATGCTGATGTTGGAGAAAATGCTGCGATTGAGTACAGCATCACAGATGGTGAGGGGCTGGACATGTTTGATGTCATCACAGATCAGGAAACCCAGGAAGGAATCATAACTGTCAAAAAGGTAATGCCACCTCTTAAATCTCATACAAATAAACATGCTTTTCTCTGGTTCCCAAGTTATCAGGGGCAGTTAACATCTCATATAAACATTCCTTTAGACTCTGAGTTTGTTATTTTAGGAAAATGCCAGTTCTAACGATATTAAGACCTCTTGCATTGGCTTTTGGGGGGGTCTAAATAATTTTATGCCTTCATTAATACCATACTTTTAATAGCTTTTATATACAAACAAAAATATGAAAAATTGTGCTGCATATGTGTTATAAGAATTTTAATGCATTCCACTGTGATGTATTTAGAAAATAAAATCAATTAAATATTAAAAACAGCAAAAAAGAATCTCCTAAGTAAATAAATAATATAAACAAATGTTATACATGAAAAACATGGAATAAGTAATATAAATGAACAATAAGGAAGGAGACAGTGCCAGATATTATTCTAGGTCCTGGAGATGCAATGGCACCTACAAATGGTCTCTGCTGTCATGGAACTTCCAGTTCATAGGGGAGGAAAAAATAGAAAGCAAGAAAACAAACCAATAAATGTGTAACTAAAAATTGCAATAGGTATGTTAAAGGAGAAGAGTAATTCACATAGTGATGCAGATGACCTGAATTAGAGAAGATATTTAAGTGATACAAATTTTCTGCAGCTACTTTAAGCTCTTTTCTGAAACACGATGATAATAAATCTTTTATGTCCCAAATTCCTCTTATTTGCCAATGTACTTATGCATTAATTTAACCCCTCCCAAAACTAGTGTCACAGTGTGGCAAAAGCTAAAAACCAATAAATTGTATGCTTTGAGGCTAAACACATTAATTTGGTTGATTTTTTTATGATTCCTCTTTTATCAGGTATAGTATAATAATTTCTCCCTCCTTTAGCACACAGTTGTGTTTGCTGGTAAATATAAACGTAGGTGGATATAAATAACAAAAATTTTCCCCTTAAGCTCATGTCCTAATATCTGGAAATACAATAAAACATGTTTAAGTGACACTGAGACCAATGTTTTATATCATAATATAATTAGGAAGCCCATTAGTGTGCATTAACCTTTTTAATTTTCTTAGTGCCTGATAAGATTTGAACTAAAATTTTGCCTAGCCAACTAAATCACATTCACTAACGTCTTGATTAATTATCTTTCTAGTGAGCCTTGTCATATTCCCATCTAAAACTAAAAGTCAGCAATAAGCATTTGGGTTTGTTGTGTCTCCAAAAGCAAAAATTTTCTTTCTAAAGATTTTTAACAACAATGATTATTATTCCTTTCTTGGGTCAATAATTAGCTCCGTGCCCTTATCAAGATGTCATTTGGAATATTTTATTAACTCATGCAAAAAAAAATTTAATCTATTTTATCTGAATGAGGAATAGGGAAACCATATGCAAACCTGCAGTTCCCATTGCTGACTACACCTTAGAATCACAGAGGGGGGGGCGGGGGGGGGTTGAAAATATAGATTACATCCCCACCTCAAGTATTTGCCTTAAATATGTCACTTTCCTTCCCAAGTTTTTGGACTTCGAAAAGAAGAAAGTGTACACCCTCAAGGTGGAAGCCTCCAATCCCCACGTGGAGCCCCGATTTCTCTACCTGGGTCCCTTCAAAGATTCAGCCACGGTGAGAATTGTGGTAGAAGATGTGGATGAGCCTCCAGTCTTCAGCAAACTGGCCTATGTCCTACAGATAAGAGAAGATGCTCAGATTAACACAACAATAGGCTCGGTCACAGCCCAGGATCCAGATGCTGCCAGGAATCCCGTCAAGTAAGCACACTCCTGCACCATCTCTGTCATATGTCTCCACCAATTTATATTCAAATATCCACCTGCACCTTAGAAAAAGAGGAATGGCTTTTTTTCCAATTAAACAGTTGTGTTTTCCTGAAAAAAAAAAAAAACTATTCCAAATATCACCTTTGACTCTGTACTCAGTGCATAAAGATTATTTTAGCAGCAGCATGAAGCTAAAATACACTAAAATTGAAAGGAAAAAAAAAAAAAAAAGATGAGCTCAAGATGTATACTGCTTGCACCGGAGGTAGTGTGAGGTAATGCAACTCAGTGTCCTGGGCTTTGTTTAAGGTTCAAGATTTTCCTAGGGTTTAAGATTCGTCAAAGTAAAATGGAGAAAATAACAAACTAGGCACTGGGCTTGAGAGTCTGTTTTCCAAGTGTTGGAAGAACCTATCATGTAACACTTAGAGGCAGAATTATGCTCCATTTGGATGCATAACTTTTCCTCTTGCGGATGTAAATAAAAACAAGAACCATTTCATGCTATATGTCTGTGAAATCCAGGGGAAATTAATAAAGCAGAATCCAAATTTATGCTATGTAAGCAAGCTCTGTTTTCCCTGTACTTCCCTGACACCTTAGTTGTAAATCATGTGTTCCAAAAAGCCTCATTGCTCTTGGGGACCACTAATGCTCTGAATATTGTAGAATCTTATGAAAATACTGGAGTCTAGCAACCTCCAACCTTCAGCCAGTAACTAAGGTGACTAATGAGAAGAGTGCTAAGCCGAATATCATTGTGTAAATTATTCCTCATAAATACAGTAAGCAAACAAAAATGCTGTATGAGAACTCTTGTGAATCCCACAAATATATTCTGGTCAGGTCACCTACCATATGTCAGGCATGTCCTGGAACTAGGGAATGCTAGACACAAAGTCCTGATTGCAGGGAGCTTATAGAAAGAAATAAAAAATTGATAAATATATAATGTGTCCGGTGAAAATAAATTCTAAGCAGTAAAATAGAGCAGAGTATGGAAACAGAGGTGCTATTTTAAATAGTGTGGTCAAGCTCAGTGGTAGGGAATCAATGGGGCAAAGATTTGAATGAAACGAAGGAATGAAGTATGCTAATATCTGGGGGAAGACCATTCCCAGAAGAGGTAGAGCAGGGGTGAGGCCTGATATCAGCTCTTGCTTTGTGTGTTGAAGGAGTAGCAAGGAGGCCTGTGCTGCTAGAAGACAGTGAGGGAAGAGAGGCCAGGTAGGAGGCAACAGGGAGGGCTGGATGGCGGAGGTGAGCGTGGCAGGTCCTATGTGGCCCCTATAGTCCATGGTAGAGATTGGACTTTCTTCTGACTGAGTTGAGAAGCCACTGAACACTTTGAGTAGAAGCATTACCTAATGCAAAGCTACTTTTTAAAATGATCACTGGGTTGCTCCATGATGAATGTTACTGCAGATTAAACAATTTGAGGCTGTCAGGCAATTGTTTTCCAACTTTTTAGCCATCGAGACCTCTTTGTTTCCATGAAACTTATGACACCCCCACATCTAAAAATACAAAAATGCCTGACTTATTTTCAAGCAAATAGACTTGTCATATCATTCTACTGGAGTTTCTATAAGATACCTTGGATTGGACTGTGTCAACCCAAAGCAGCCACATGTGAGCCTTTGGATCAAGTATTTCTCCATCCATGCTTAATATTATTAATAAGGAAAACGAAAGATGGCTTTCACTTCCATAGCACAAGTGATTCAAGTGCTCTCACAATTATTCTCTCATTTGGAGTATATTCTAACTGCATAAGGAAAAATATCTTAGCAAATCAGTGTCAAGTCCAATTTTAAAGTGTTAATGCTCAAAAGTTTACAAATACAAGCTTCACTTACCTCTTGAATAGATCAACTTGTTTTTAATTTAAGAGATAATGTCTTTTGGGAATATAGGCTATATACTTCTATATCTATGTTACTTTTTATATGAAATACCATTTTTACCCACTGCATTATTTCATGTTTTATGAAAGGAAGTAGTTAGCTTGTCAAACTGGGTTAACTGTTAGTTAATTTTAAAGGTCTTTGTTTTTGTTTGTTTGTTTGTTTGTTTTTTGCTTCCAGACTTCCCTTGGTGCGTATGGATTTGACATACAAATATAGATTTAAAGCTAGAAATACACCTAGATAGATTGATATAGAAATATAGGTTCCAGTGATTCCTTTTCTAGGATAAAAGTCATTCTTATATTAGGAAAGTACGACTACACATAGTTTTAGGTTATTCTAAGCATAAATATTGAACAACTAGGTTCAATGTAGTACGTACGTTAGGTGAACAATTAAGACCCTTCTTCCCCAAACATTGATTTATTGTTAGGCAGCTATAATATTTAATTCTTTAATCACAAGAACATAATTTTCTGCCAACAATTTTTATCACCAATGCCTTTTGAAACCCTTGAAAGAATCTTATGTCACTATTAATACCTACTATGAAAAATTTGTATGCAAACACACCTCCTTTCCCAGCCCAGAGATCTTCCTGCCTTGAGGATACATTAGAAGACAAATTATTTAATCACAAATACACTGAAGCCAGGGTGGGGGTGGTGGTTTGAGGACATCCCAGCAGAATGATCTGCTACAATCATAATGGGATTGATTACCTTGCTTTCTATTAGTGATGTTTACAATCAATGTTTATAGATGGTAAATGTCTCTGTTATAAATTGAAATTGCTTTAGGGAAAAACAAAAAGCAAATAAGGCTTTATGTAAAAGAATTTTTCATACGGAAAGTGGGCATTTTAGATTTTTCTGCTAATTTTTTAATCTCCCAATTAGGGGAAAGTAATACAAACGTCAGTATTTCTTAAATAGTTCCTCTTCCTTTAAAATTTAAAGCTGCCTTCAATGAAAACTTTCTCACTGCTTACCCTTTATTTCAAGACTTGATGGAAAAAAATATGATTACTTTTAAAACTTTAAACTGTAACAGGAGGCAAAGAGACAAAGAACAAAAAAAGATTACTGCTGTATATAATTGTAGCAGCTTATAAAGGCACTAATCGGCACTTCTTAAGCTTGACATTTTTCATGAGAGAAAAAATATGTTTGTAGATAATTATTGAATGTCTCACAAAGTCTATGAATATTGAGATTTCCTTTTGGTAATTAACCATGTGTTATAAATATTTATCATCCTCAAATTTAAAATGAAGAAAGGTGATCAAGTAAATTCAATGTTGTTGCCTAAATTCTTAACAAATGTTGATTCATGACAGATAGGGTAAATGCAATAGCTTTTTCATCTGTTTCCACTGTTTTGATAATAAAAATCATTGGATCACATACACTGAAGCTAAAATTCCAACCCAACTTGTACCCATTGTAAACTTCATTAATTCTGTATAAAGTCAGATTTAAATAGCCTACAATAACTTAACGTCTATTTCATCTAGACACCTGCTAGATGACAAAAATAAATTTTATTAAGGTAAAACACATTGTTTATTATAACTCACTACTTACATTATAAATAAAAATGATTCCTTGAAATAACATTTTGGACATAGTATAATATTATCAATGAGTAACAATTTTTCCCAGAGAATTCATACTAATTCCATATTTCCAACTAGTTAAGTCATTTGCCTGAATTGTATTTCTAAGATGACATGTATAAAGCTCCTATCATAACATAAGTTTTGAGAATCCATCTAAAATGCACATTTTCTACAGCCCTTAACATCAACTTTCTTCAGTGTTTTCTCTTAAATGCCTGTTTGCTCATAAACATGCATACATAAGTACTTTTTCACCTTACATGGCTACTCTAAAACCATAAAAAATACATACATATGTAAATAAACTTTTTAAAAACTGATGGTAAATTTGTAAATAAGATTAGATTTTCAAAATCTATGAGTCTTCTATCAGTATCAGGGTTGAAAACTCTGTCCCTTGGTTTCTAAGACATCACTTTTGTTCTTTGAATATCTCCAAATTCCCCTTCTCATCTGTTCAGCTCCTGCTCTGATCCCACCACTGTTCTGTCCTGGTGGGTCTTTGTTCTCCCATTGGTGCTATCAGTGATCCTGTCCTTAGTGCTTTTCCCCTTTCACTGGATGTTGAATGAGAAATCTAGGTTGTCAGTCCAGATCTTTATCCTATGCATCCAACTAGGTATCTTCCCCTGGACCTTCCTCAGGCATCTCAACCTCAATGCATTAAAAATGGAACTGAAGCCAGTCCCCACAACCTGTCTTCCCTCCTCTTCCATCAGCTTGTGGCAGAACCATCCAACCATTCTCTTCCATTCAACCTGCAATCTTTGCTAAACATGATTTAGACTATGATGCTACCTTGCTTGGAAACCTTTGGTAAATTTATGGTGAATTTAGAATAAAGCCCAGCTCTTCATGAAGCCAACCCATCATTTCCGCAGTCTGGACTCTGGATCCCTCTCCAATCTCATCTCCTACCTCCTTTTCCTTCTTCACTAAACTTGGCCACACTAATTTTCCTTTGCTTCTTACCAAAAAATAATAATAATAATAATTAAATGAATAACAGAAAAATAACCAATGCCCTACATTATACACAAATACACATACACATTCTGAGTTCTATAAAACTTGAGTTTAAAATACGAAATATGTAATTACCATAAAAACTTGATCCAAATTATATATTTTTAAAAAACTGTAGAGGTGACTCTTAAAAGCATGCACCTTGTTCTAGTGAGCTTACTGGTAACACCTCCATCGTAAAGAACTGATTTCTCAGGATATTTTACTTAATATTAAGTTCTAGGTATTTAAATATGCAGTACAAGTAGAAAGAAATTCATATAACATATATTCTGGATATTGCTTTTTGATGTGAGGATAGCAATTCTAAAGCCTTTCTAAATTCTACCCTGCATTTTCAGGTATTCTGTTGATCGACACACAGATATGGACAGAATCTTCAACATTGATTCTGGAAATGGTTCAATTTTTACATCAAAACTTCTTGACCGAGAAACACTACTGTGGCACAACATAACAGTGATAGCGACAGAAATTAGTAAGTCCAACCTGGTACTGCTGCTGTCCCTGATTGATGGAGCGCGTGTCCCAGCTAGGGCTCCTGGAGCATGGCCAAAACTCGCCACCACACCTCAATGATCCTGCTCAATATGTATTGAGGGAAAATCCCTGGAATGGTTTGAAGTGATGTTTCTTCTAACTGAGGGGTGGTTCATTCCTACATGGAGAGGAAATTGTGGAAGTTTATAGTTTGGAAAGCGTGGAATGAGAGTGTGACTTGATTGAGAGTGAGACTGGATTGGTACTATTAGATTTGATTCTAAAATGCATGTAAAGTTAAAACATTATAGAAACAGCTGGGAAAAAATGGACTTTCCGACATTGCAAAGACAGAGGAGGGAAAAAAAGAGTTCAAGTGTCTTTAAAATGTAGACATGGTCTAGAAATCTTGTGAATATTTATTCCTCAAACTTTCTTGGAATTTCCATTTTGAAATTTGTACAGAATTAAGAGGTACAAATGATCATTTTTCCATAGTATATCAAAGTAAGCAATACAGATCACCAAGTAATCAATAAAATGTTCAGAATGAATTTTATGGTTCTCCCTGTGAAAACTAAGGCAAAGAAACACAGTGCCAAAAGAATATTTCAAATAAAATGATTATACTTCAATGAAAATTAATATGAATTATAAACACAATGTTTGGACTGAGATACATGAAATAAAAAATGGTCTTTAAAATAATGTTTTAGTATTTAAAACGAGACTTCTAAGTGAGAGATATTTTTAGTTTTTGTTTTTAATTCTTAAAGTTCTACACATTTTCATCTCAGTTGGTTATCTAAAGTGAAATATTCCATATCAAATAGTCCATTACAGTTATATTTTGTCAGCATAACTCATGAGATTTGAAGTAGCTGAAGGATATGGGGTGGTATAATAAGTAACCAATATGGGCCAATGAAGCCCTTCTTTTGATAATGACAAGGACAACTCATTAGACATTTGTATCTACTGTGGATACCAGCAACAGTGCACCGTTAAAGTTTGAAAATTACAAAGTTATTGTCCACTGAGAAGGACCGTTTTTCAAAACATCATGAAATTCACTTCATAAGTATTTTAAGCTTTCTGCCTTAAAATCCTGTTTTTAGGATTTAATGTTTCTATGACACATTTGAAAGTATTAGTAATTCAGACCTTTAAAAATTCATATTTAGCCACTCTAACTTTGGAACAATGGTGTGAGTAAAATGTCGGACACAAAGGATTTTCAGAATCTTATTGTCACAGCCTCTGAAGTACCTTTGATGTGTCAAAAATCAAGAGTTTGTGTAAAGTCAGTTCACTCCCACTATGAGGCCTCTGCGCTTGTGGCTCCTTCTGCCAGGACCTCCAGAAATACCTAAGGGGCCTAATCTTTCTCTTCAGTCTCATCTCTGGGCAAATGGTGACTCATCAGAGAAGCCATTTCTTGTCATCCTATTTAAAGTAATACCAGCCGGGCTACGGAAGCACAGGCCCATAATCCCAGCAGCTCAGGAGGCTAAGGCAGGAGGATTATAGGTTTAAAGCCAGCCTCTGCAAGTTAGTGAGGCTATAAGGAACCTAGTGAGACCCTGTCTCTAAATAAAAAAAAAATAAAAAGGGCTGGGGATATGGCTCAGTGGTTAAGTACCCTAGAGTTCAATCGCTGGTACCAAAAAATAAAATAAAAAGTAACACCCTTGTCTGTCTCAATCCCTTTTCCATTTAATTTCTCCATAGCATTAACCATCTGATAGGTGATATACTTACATGTGTACAGCTTGTCTATTCCAATAGTAGAATAACTCTCCAGGAAGCAAGCTAATTTTATGCTCCCTTGTTTCCCGGCATCCTAAACAATGGCAGCACATATGAATCTTAGATGGTCTAATATTAGTATTAGAATTTTTATTGTTAGCATTTAATGAAGTGAGCCAACAAATAGATATAAGAGTGAAATAGATGGAAAGGGTGAGGCAAGAGATTCTAACTCCTGATTCCTGTACCAGCAATGTCTTCTAACTAACCAGGAGAATATAAAAGACAAACAAAATACTTCATATCTTAAGACATTGTCTGCACTCAACCATTATCCAAGATGAACAACCTGGACTTTGGAATCAGACAGACCCAAGTTTGAACCTAGGCTCAACTTCTTACTTATCTCTGTGAATGTGGATAAATTACTTAACTTCTCTGTGCCTCAGTTTCCTCATCTATTAAATAGGGGCAATAACTGTATCTACCTCAGAAGGTGTGTAAGTGTCATGTCGGCTAATCCAGCACAGTTCTTAGCATGATGTCCAGCTCTTATTCAGCACTCACACAAAAACTAACACCAATAACATACGTTGATATCCTGGTGGTTCATGCATTTCTCATCTTCCTTTTGTCCATGTTTTTCCTATCTTCCTGCTTTGTTGGTGTCCTTGAAAATCTACCTCTAAAATGCCTATTCTTACTTTGTGTGGCCTCAGGCTTTATGATGCAGATGTAATCGTATCAACACAAGCAGGAATTTCCACCAGGTGCATCAACCGTAGAAGAACCAAACCATTGCATTCTTTCTCATGTCCTCAGTGGTGCTCAATGCCTCTATAGTATTCACAGCAGCCAAGGGGAATCTCTGTGTGAATAAGGAGCAAAGAGAGAGGGAATGTTGTCCACAGGGAACTGGCGATCAACATATAAATGCCTATTTTTTTTTCTTTTTGGTATGTGGCAGATAATCCAAAGCAAAGCAGCCGAGTACCTCTATATATTAAAGTTCTAGATGTCAATGACAATGCCCCAGAATTTGCTGAGTTCTATGAAACCTTTGTCTGTGAAAAAGCAAAGGCAGATCAGGTAAGTTCATCAGAAAGTACATTCAAGTTGAAAGATTAATTTAAGTCTCCTAATAATTCATATGATACACAGATCTGAGGGCTAGTTTTGAATTATCAATGAAGTGAATGTTAAGAAGATTAATACCATAAATAAGAACTAGGGTGAATGTTTAAATTGCATAAGAGAACAAACAGTTTTTAAGAACTGGAAGTTCATCATTCCTGAAAACTGACGCTGATACCAAATCGGTCTTTTTCATTAAAATAGATGAGTCACAGTGTTATTGGAAAAATCTTTATTGGCGAACAGATAGTTAATTATCATATCTTTTTTGAAAGTAACAGCTAGGACTTACTTTATAACTGCCTATAATTTATAGTTTTACTTATTTACATTGCCCATCTGTACAAGTAATACAGATTCATGAATGTTTTACCATTTTACCCATTTGTTGCCACCTGAAATAAGTCTTTGCTGCCAGTGATATAAAAATTATGTTCCAGTTGGTCAAAATAGAAGTGCACTATTAAAGTACATGGGAAAGTGGGAAGTGGAGGCTGTGTTTTATATGCTAATTTTCTTTTTAGTTTTTTGCCAGTTAGTAGCTTATATCCATGCCAAGATTGCACTTCTAAACAGGCTGTCCAATGAGTGCTTCCATTTAGTCCTGTTGCAAGCCTCTTTCATTCATTGTGGTGTTTTATAACTTTGTACCACTTCCCATCAGTGTTTCTCAACCAGGGAGGGGATATTTACCTGGGGCTATTTGGCAATGACTGGAGATATTTTTTGATTGTACAATTAGGAGGGTACTTCTGACATCTAGAGGCTAGAGACCAGGGTTGTTGCTAAACATCCTACAATGCACAGAACAACACCCCACAGGAAAGAATTATCCCATGCTCTGTGGCTCTCTATCTAGCCCTTCAGTTCTTTGAACAGAATGGATTTGTTGGAAGTTTTTAAAAGCTATGATTTTTAATTAGAAGTAAAAAAAAAAAAATCATAAAATCAAGCAACTCACTACAAAACTGTAAGAAACACTTGTGAATTATCAGAACTTTAGAGCAGCCGTATGGTTTTTATTTCAGTTGATTCAGACTCTACGTGCTGTTGATAAGGACGACCCTTACAGTGGACACCAATTCTCCTTCTCTTTGGCCCCTGAAGCAGTCAGTGGCTCCAACTTTACCATCCAAGATAACAAAGGTAAATAAGTTCATTACTTTCTCTATCAATGCATCTATACATACAACTATCAATTCCCATCATAATTGGTCCAATACATGATGTAGTGTCCATGTACACTTAACACTTTGCTTTTTGGTTCCAGACAACACAGCAGGAATCTTAACTCGGAAAAATGGCTATAATAGACATGAGATGAGCACCTATCTCCTGCCTGTGGTCATTTCAGACAACGACTACCCAGTCCAAAGCAGCACTGGGACAGTGACTGTCCGGGTCTGTGCATGTGACCACCATGGGAACATGCAGTCCTGCCACGCGGAAGCCCTCATCCACCCCACAGGACTGAGCACGGGGGCTCTGGTGGCCATCCTTCTATGCATCGTGATCCTACTAGGTAAACTGCTTCTCCCTGCATCTTATCTCCCCTTGGTGAGGGGCACACACTGTTACTGTGACACTCTAGATTTTTCCGCCTCCCCCATTAAGGCATACAGCCTGATCTAGGTGAGTAGAGTTATATGCTGAGAATCTGTGTTGTTCAAACATGAACTCATTTTGCTTGAAATGGCTTTGGAACTTGCCCATATCTTTGCTTGCCCAGGGAATTGGTCCACCAAAAGAGCATCTTGTCTATCAAACTGGAAATGAATCTCAGGGGGATTCAAGGGCTATATACATATGGCCTTTTCATTTCATTTGTTGTTGAATGTTTAACTTGGCAAATATTGTTAAATTTGAAAGAGTGAAAGTCACCCAGCATGGAGGATGTGGTGAAGGCCACTTCTATAAAGGTAAAGTTTATGATCAGTGGAAAAGTAAAAAAAGAATAGTGTCATGACTTTTTCTCTCTCATACAAGAAAAATTAAAGTATGAAATTTTCTTTAACCCAGTATTTTGATCTACCCACTTAAATGACTATTTTCTTAGCTTTGCTCTCCGGTTACCGCATACAAAATGTCTAATATTTTCACATCCTCAGTACTAAGAAACTTCTGTGATTAAGGGAACAAACCAGAGACTCCAAAGAAATGAATGTAATAGAAATGAAAAAGCAAGGTTTATCAATCAGGCCCATGACTGTGAACTAAGAAAGGAAATGTTAATTAATACAACGCTTCCAAAAACAAAAGCAAGATTTGTAAAGCTTGCCTATGCAATGAAAAAAATAAATGAATATAAAGGCAGAAGTTGAGTCACCTAGATTACACAGGAGGAAAAAGTCTTTTAAGAAAATGAAGACATAGTCATCCCAAGAAGAGTAAAAGAGGACCTATGTGTCTCTAAGAACAGAATGCTAAGGGATCCCTGCCCAAGAGCTTCACATTCCAAATCCATGCTGCTAATTATAACAGGAGAATTGAAACTCCCCTGCAGAACCGTGGTTCCCTTTGTCAACTAAGATTTGGGCAAAGTATTTTAAGACATTTAAATAGAAACTGACAGTGAGCAAAGACAATTGGCATTTCCAATGGTGTGGGTTTATAAAACTGTTTAGAAGAGAAGGACGTGAACATTCTTTTTTAAAGGGGTATTTTCAGAAGTGCTCGGCTGTCAGTGTTATACTCATGCATGCAGACTCTTTTTGTAGTCTATGGAAAGAGAGCCAGCTTTCATCTGCTAAATCAGATTTTTCCTTTCCTTCATCATCAATCCATTTTCTCCTCTTCCTTTTCTTCCTTCAAACTAGCTTACTTTTCTGTTCCCTTTTCATTTCCTTCCTCCAAGTGAATTCACTGTCTCTTCATTATAACTAATTGACCTCAGTGCCTCCCATATTTTGTCTAGTCTTTTGGGGGTTCTATACCCAATAAAAAAAAAAGGAAGAAAATGGGATTTAACCTTAACTAACTCCTGGCAACAATGCTGGGCACTGTGTTGTTCCCTCTTTTTACAGATAAGAAAATAGGCTCACAAAGATCACACCATTTTACACTAACCCAGATCTGCAAATCTCCTTGTTTTATGATGTGATTTAAGCACAAACTTACCCAAGTGCTCTCACCTTAAGCTAGATGCTGGGCAAGAAGTTGTACTAATGTTTTTCTCACTTCTCAGAAGCACCTGGTATATATTTATCTGCACTTTAAACATCAAAGCTGAGGATCCAGGATGCAAAGGCACGTGGTCAAGTCACACTTGTAACAGATGGTGGAACCAAGTTCCAAACCCTGGTTTTCTCCCTCGAGGCTGGGTGCTTCCACACTGCACTCCACTTTCCTGCAGCCCTGTAGAATGCAAGGTGATTTCCGGCTGAAAGAGGTCAAACTTAAGTGGGACAATTGAAGAAATGTAGGCAAGAAGAGGAAAAGTCAGAGGAGGAAAATTACATTGATATATGAGGAAATCCAACATTAAGAAAGTGAATCAGGCTGGGGCTGTTGCTTAGTGCTTAGAGTGCTTATCTAGCCCACCTGAGGCCTTGGGTTAATCCTCGGCACCACCAAAGAGAGAAAAAAGTAGATCATGAGGCATCTAGTATTTACAAAAATGTGACAATTATATCTCATGTCTCTATAGCACTTCAGAGTTTGCAAAACTTTACATTTATTAACCCATTCCTGACAACAATGCCAAGTACTGTGTTATTTCTTCTCTTTTACATATAAAAGAACAGACTTTAAGGGGTTGGGGTTGTAGCTCAAAGGTAGAGAGCTCACCTAGCATGTGTGAAGCACTAGGTTTGATTCTCAGCACCGCATATAAATAAATTAACTAATTAAATAAAAGTCCATCAACAACTAAAAAAATTTTTAAAAAGGAAAACAGACTTTAAAAGTCAAATCATTTAAGTTAAGCTGGATCTGATGATCTTCTAGTTTTGTGATAGAATTTGAACACTAAATTTGCACAAGTGCCTGCATCCACACTCAAATCTCACTGCTATTCTCTGGCCCCGTAACAGTAGGGAAAAAGGAGACTCAGTTTCTGGTAAGGGCATTTCACAGGTATATTACCTTTTTAGAATGTTATTCCTTATACTTAGGAATTACGTTTTCAGTTTATAAAAGTTAGCTTTAGAAAGATCTCCCTTCTAGATGATTATATTGAAGCAATTTGGGTTCAGATGTGCTTTGGGCTAATAAGAAAAAATATAGGCAATTTTAGCTATACAAGAATTAAGCTGTGAATAAATGCCTTTGAGTTGTTTAACGTGATTTCTCTGGTCTAGATGATTGTATTTTTAGATGTGCATAAAACTAGAATAAAAGATCTAGGTACCTTAAGCTGGAGAAGAATTAGGAAATGATAGTCACCTGCTGTCTTGCCTTAAATAAGTTAAAGAACTCATGCATATCAGAGTGGAATTCTTTGAGGGATATTTGGCTTGGTTCTCTTCTCTAATTCCAATGGTTGTCCTACTTACAGCCCTATTTTGCAAATCCATGTCACTTGTCACACTGGAAACCAATGTAAAAGTAGATCAGGGGCATCCTTCTGCCCAAAACCCTGCAGGTTTCCACATCCATGCCCACCAAGGGAAAGATGAAAGGTATACAGAAGCCTCAGCGCCCCCTTGGAACGTGGCCAGTCCCGACTCTTCTCCTCCCCTGGGTTCCTTGTGGTTTAGCCCGAGAGCCTCCTGGCTCTTCCTCCTACTTGGCAGACACATACCTACCTTGGGGCCTTTCCCAGAGCTCTTTCCTCTTTGCCACATAGAGCCTTGTATAACTACTCATGTCTTGGCTTAAATGGCATGACCTCCCCTCAAAAGACATGGCACAGCCCCTGAAACATGCAGATAAGCTCCTGCTCTCCTTGTACCGCTCAGCATTTCCTTGGTTACATGGCACTTATCACCTCATAATTTCCTTCTATATCATACATATTGTTCCCTTACTGTCTCCATGCACCATTTCACAGCCCTGCCCATTATATGAACTTTCACACTTAGAAAGTGGGCAGGGCTGTGTCTTTTTTTTTTTCCAGTAGAACCTAGAACTGTATCTGGCAGAGAGGAAGCTTGACATAAGTATTTATTTAAAGAGTGAATGGATATCCAGGGTGGACGTGACAAATGAGGCATCAAGATACTCCTGGCAGCAAGAGACACTACAGACAATTGTACAACCACACTCTTGACAATGGCAAAACTGCATTTCCTTTGTAAATAGAATCAAATATGCTTCAAGCATGACAGTTAAGAATGTGGGTCTTTGAGTCTGACAGCCCTGGATTTGAATGGCTCATACATGTGATATCTCTAAGCCTCTACTCTCTGGTATATAAAATGGGATTATCATGATGGCACTACTTTGTAGAGAGTCAGTACGTTAAGCACAGTGCTTGACATGGAGAAAGTTTTCAATAGGTAGCCTATTGTCATTATGACTACTAATGTCTGAAATTATAACATAGACACATGGGTGTACACACATTCTTATTACATAGGTGGATGTACTCACCACTAAAAGGCCATTATTGTAAAAATCCAATCTTCACAGCTTATAAAAACTGGGCCACGTGTGGGTGTGATAGTAAAAAGACATTACTCTACTTCCTGTAATAAACTCCTCTGGACAAACCTAGGTTAATAATGCATTTTCTGCCCTGGATGGCTGTTTTCTCTGTAAGCTGTTGCTACATTTTTATTTCCCACCCATAGGTCCATTTGTAGATAGATGTGCCTCTCTACAGGTAGCCAGCTTTGTTCTACCAGACAGCTGTGAAGAAAGATCAGGAGCTATTTAAATGTACTTCTTGCTTTATCTCTAATTTGTGTTAGAAGGAAAAAGTTAAAAGAACAAACATTCTGGGTAACAAACTGATGGGCCATGCACCTTTGGAAAAAATAAAAAATAAAAGTCTCCTGTAAATGTCTGTTTCATTTAGCTTGAATAAAAATACTATGGAATGTGTATTACCATTTGCCCATGCAAGTTGGTGGATCTTGAGGTCCAAAATGACTCTCTGAATCTGGGTCTCTCCAGGAATTATCTGCAATTGTATTTCTTTGTATGTTGCGAAGGTATGCAAACATTCACATCTCTGCTTTGGGTTTTAAACCAATTTTAAACTTTTCTCAAGAAAAAAAGAAGGTATAGTGCAAAAGTTATTTTTGATGTGGAGTTATGCAAGCCCTTCGACACATCCCAAAGGTGCCAGCCTTGTCCTCAAAACCAGTTTCAGGGCATTCTAGGTGTTTGGCATAATTTGCACCCTTATTGCGGTACTTCCACCATGGCCACGCTTTTTTTATTATTATTTTGTTTCTTCTTACCGTGAAACAAGTTTGCTGTTTCAAAGCCAAAAAGGAGCTACTGACAAAACATGATGGTGTTTCATCTTCTATTTAAATTATAACCTTCTTTCAAATATTTGGGGTTCTGAACTGATTATTGACAGAGGCATATGCATCCTTAAAGAAGTAAAAGTCGACTCTGCATTTTTCAAGAGAACTTTTAAAATTTCACATTCAGAGCATAGTATTTCTTCCTGACATTAATTGGGCGGCAAATTAACTTTCCCTTCCCTTTCTGTTTTGTTTTCTTCTTCCAGTGACCGTGGTGCTGTTTGCAGCTCTGCGGAGGCAGCGGAAGAAAGAGCCTTTGATCATTTCCAAAGAGGACATCAGAGATAACATTGTCAGTTACAATGATGAAGGTGGTGGAGAGGAGGACACCCAGGCCTTTGATATCGGCACCCTGAGGAATCCCGAAGCCATAGAGGACAACAAATTGCGTAGGGACATAGTGCCTGAAGCTCTTTTTCTACCCCGACGGACTCCAACAGCTCGTGACAACACCGATGTCAGAGATTTCATTAACCAAAGGTTAAAGGAAAATGACACGGACCCCACGGCCCCCCCATACGACTCCTTGGCCACCTATGCCTATGAGGGCACCGGCTCCGTGGCCGACTCCCTGAGCTCTCTGGAGTCAGTGACCACAGATGGAGATCAAGACTACGATTATCTTAGTGACTGGGGCCCTCGGTTCAAAAAGCTGGCAGATATGTATGGCGGGGTGGACAGTGACAAAGACTCCTAATCTGTTGCCTTTTTCATTTTCCAATACGACACTGAAATATGTGAAGTGGCTATTTCTTTCTATTTATCCACTATTCCGTGAAGGGTTCTCTGTTCTACCCGTTCCAAAAGCCAATGGCTGCAGTCCTTGTGGATCCAATGTTAGAGACTTTTTTCTAGTACACTTTTATGAGCTTCCAAGGCAAATTTTTATTTTTTAGTGCATCTCAGTTAACCAAGTCAGCCCAGCAGGCGTGTGCGCGAGGAGAGGACAGGGAGCAGTATTTTTACTTGTTCTCTTAGGGCGAGTTTGGAAATTGCTGGCTTACCACTGGCCACTGATTTACTAGACTCCATTGCCTCAGGTCAGCAGACTGCTCCAACTGTACATTTCACATGCTAACGGGATAAGGGATTGTGCTTTATTGATAAAAATATAGTTATAGTTTTTAAAAAAGTAATAATAAAGAAGGAGCCACTGGGAAGTCAATCCTGATATATCAGCTCATGAGGAGATAATAACCTACATAAAAGAATTTCTGTTGCAAAGTAAATGACATTTAGCCCATCCTGTTTGTGCTTTAAGAACTTTTGCTGACACCAACTATTATTCAGAACATCAAATCCACATTTTAAGATTCTCATTTCTCTTAAGGAGTAAAAGCAAATGAAATGATAACATTCAAAGATAACAATAACAGAAAAGTAATAAGACTTCATTAATTTGTTATATATGAGACATGCAAGAGTTTGCCATAACACCATAGGAAGAGAAAGAGAAAATAGCGAATGATATTAACGAATGAAATGTTTAGCATATTTGAAAGTTTTGGCTACCAATGTATCGCAGATCACTTGAAATTGTTTCAACTATCAGTAGGCTAATGACAAATAAGTATAATTGTTTAAAGGTTTCTGAAAGAATTTTTTTGAGACGAATGTTGTCTGTGCTTGTTTTCAGTATTATTCCACTATACCCAAAAGCAGCAATGTTAAGTACAATATCCTTCAGCTACTTCTCACCTAATTCACTTGGCTTAGTACAGTTAGATTAAATGAACTCAAATCCTCCTCTTGGAGATCCAGGGAGAGGTTAGAGCTAGCCACATATGAACCTAACACTCTGCCCTTCACATCCAGAAGCATTTTCAAACTTACCCGGGTAAAGATGGACACCCCTGAGATCATTATGAAAATATTCATTTCGTGTCTGGAAGATGCTTACAAACTTGGATTCCCTTCAACAAGAGTGTTTAATATTGGAATTAAAATGATATTTGACTTTCATATGTATTAACTTTTTCCATTGTTTTTAACTTTGCTTCCATAGCAATCTTTCCATCGTTGTCTCTGAACTAATGATAAAGTAATGGTCTCAAACTATGATAGAAAAGTAATGTAAAATCCATCCAATCTATTATTTCTCTAATTATGCAATTAGCATCATAGTCAGTTATTATCCAGGGGACCCAAGTGAACTGAACTAATCCTTCTGGCAGGTTCAAATCATTTATCTCATATGGCTGTTCTAATGACTTTTATCATTAGAATCTTACATCGTACAGTCATCAGAAATTTCTGAAGTACTGTAATGAAAAAATCCTTGCTTGAAAACTTTAAAAATAGACTCTGTGTATATCTATTCATAATATATACTTGAAAACATGCTGGCTTCACTTATTAGTCTTAGGGATTTGTTTTCAATTAATGTTAATTTTCTGCAGATAATCTCGATGTCATTTTCATTTGGAGACAATGGCATATCAGCATATATTTTCTATTTGGAAACATACTACTGTTCAGTTAAGTTTAAATAGGTATTTTTTCCCAGGAAGTAAATGTGAGCACCTATAAAACAAGAGAAATGTGGAATTCGGGTTAAAGTGAAAATATTTTTACAACCATATTATTCCTTGTGTTTCCTAAATGGCTTCCTAATTTTTAATGGTCTGCCCTTGATTCTAACAAGTATTTCATGCTTGGCCTATTCCAAGCCTTTTTTTAAAATTTAATTTTATTTTTCTAGTTCTTTATACACACAGAGACACACACACACACACACACACACACACACACTCACACACACAGAGGAATGCATACTAAAAGTTACAGGAGGGCTTCACTGTAATGAATCAGTATGTATTATAGTCACAGGTAAGTGTTGAAAAAAGATAGCTCAGTAAAATTAATTAATAAGTACTAGGTATAGCAATAGAACAGCACGTTAATCACACAATTTACTGTAAAACTAAAGAATGCTCTATCCTTGTGATTCATGTCATGTAACAAATTGAACCAAGAAAAATAGTTCAGTAGAAAAGAAAGGTATCATCAAAAGTTGTTCTTTTGAACTTTTGGGGTTAATTGGAATTCTGAGGGTTGACACTAGCAATTTCCTACATTTCAGGGCAAAGTTGATTTCTCCTTCTAAGTGAAATCAAATAGCTCTATCGTGGGACATTTGAAATGTAATTGGCAGGGTACAGTATCATGCCAAAAATGGATTAGTAGACTAAGTATTGAAATTAGTATTTAATATCTTAACATAAAAGCTCATGGTGTAGGAAACCTGTAGGATATTGGATGCTTTGAGCCTAGAACTGAATATTTAGTACTACTGTCCTGCAAGGATCGAGTTGAAGTGGCATTTTCTTATGAGACCCCTTGAAAACCTGCAAACAGTAAGAGCTTCAGTTCCATCAATCTCCTGCCTGGTCTTACTTTCTTCCCACCAAAATATCAGCTCAAACACCACTTGCACATGCACGTTTCTTTAAGTGCAAGGTCGTGGGTCAACATGAACAGGTTACTGAAGAAAAAAAAAATCGTTCTCATCTCAGTTTTCACATTGTCTATGTCCTCGTTTTAGATACTGGTGATGAGAAAGAGGGAAGGAGGGGGAAGAAGTAAAATTTCAGTATTTGTTTTAATCACTAAAAAGCTTAAAGTCATTCAACAGAAACAGGTCGCTTTTGTGTAAAGTGTCGTTTCGAGGACACTGAAGCCTTTCTGACTTTTTCCCCCTCTGTGCAAAAGGAAGAGTTTCTTTAAACCACTATGATACTCCCTAAAATGAGCTAAAATTTTAAAAACATTAAGCCATTGCACATAAGTTTGAAACCCCTTCGCTTCATACCCACTTCCTACTGAAAATATTTGCCGCCATATAAGTAAATAAATCAAACAGGAAAGTAGCAACGATGGTTTCATAAAACCATATGAGAATCTGAGCACAGTAAATATATATTTCCTTCAGAACTTTCCTGTTTTTATAGTTTGGGTGCATAAGGGAGGCACGGCTACAAAATTACTCCATTTTCAGATGGAACAAAGCTGGTGATTCAATTTTAACACAGTATAAAAATATGTGGCTTAGTTTTCATTTTCAGCTCCTAAAAAGTTGCGCAAGAAGTTCTTAAAAATTGAATCTGGATCTTCAAAGCATCCAAATTTTGTGGATTCAAAATAACTTTGTGATGTTTCCATTACTTTACTTCTAAGTCTATAAATTTTAGATGTCCTGAATTGCCGAACAATATCTCACATCAAATGCTTTGCCCTAGAATGGGTATTTCCTGGGAGATAATAATGTACCAACTACCAATTGGGCATTCTTAGATTTTTATATGCTTGAGCACTGTAAAAAAGTACACAATTGAAAGGAGAGAACAAAGTTGATTCCCGGGTGCAAACTAAATATTTAAATCAGGTATCCATCCTTATCAGCTAAATTCGTTTTTCCCAAGGAACACAGAACCACCAAATGAATTCTTTCATCCAAGTTACCAGTTTTGAAGTGATGTAATTACTTTGGAAGAACACTCTAAAAAGTCATGATCCCCACTATTTTGAAAGACATCTTCTGAAAAGGATCATTTTAGTGTAATTTTAATTTTCATGTCTTATCTAGATGAAATCTTTTTTGAATTGTGACATTGTGGCAGGGGACTCGAAATCCAAGCAGTCGGCTGTGTTTAAATTAACACTACAACCCAACCTTCTTTATCGGATGATAAGAGTAGAAAGATTAACACTTGGTATGTGAATCTTCAGGAGATGAACTATTTCCTCAGTTCTGACAAGCAGTTTTCTTTTCCAGAGAATACAAAACTACAGTATGGTCTCCTTAAAATTTCAGCAACTATTATGGGTGCAGCATTTTTTAATCTCCCTTTGGCATCTTTATGGAATAATTTTCTAAAGGGATAATTCTCTACTAAAAATACCAGACCCCAACCATATTTAATGTGGAGAACGATACCCTCTTAGAGCAAATGCATTGACTCACACACTTGTTACAAGTTAATAAAGAAATAGCTCATTTTTAAAACCAGAACTTTATGGTCTCTGCATCATCAATTTAATTTAAGCATTGCTGAGACAATCCTTAATCTACTCCTCATTTTGTAATACCTTATTTATGATGCATTTTCATTTTTTAATTTGGGGGGAACGTTAGCCTCACAGAGCCAGCAGATGAAAGTGTTGAAAGGAGGTCAAATGGAAACAAAGGCTATTACCCACTATATTTCAGACAGGACTGAGGCACTTAGTCGAAGAGCCACTGGGTTATTAGATTAATTTCAAAAGAGCTTTTACAAGTTGCTTAATTCCATTTTTTTTTTAAACCCATGGACCACAAACTCAAATTTCTCCTCAAATGGGGTTAATTTGACAAATGAGGCATAGACCCAGCGTTGTGGAAAAAGCATTCCTCTATAATGAGATCTTGGTCTTTCTTGGGAGGCTACGCTATTTATGTAAATATATCTGGAGGCACATTCTATAAGCGTTTAGTTTTCTATGATCTATTAGTTTAGTGTTTATTAAAGAATCAAATGTATAGAATTACTAGGCATTCGGGGAGAATGCTGTGTAGCAAATGTAAACCGGATCTGCTCGGAAGAGACACAAGAACACTTCAAAGCCACTGTACTGTTTTGTTTGTGATTATTTTCTTTGCTTCGAGAATGAACTACGTCAGAATAGGCCTTATAATAAATGCTATGTGCGTCTTCAGTGATACCAAGCTAAGGCAATTTGGCATTCTCCTACTGTGATTTGTGACTTTAAACCAAGAAAATAAAAGCTTTTTGGTATTGATTGTATTTAATTAAAAATACTTCCAAGTGTAAATTGAAACTGATGCCACCCTTAAAGATTGACTGGGTGGAGTGTTCCGTTCACCTTACTTTTCTCTTTCATGTCTTTGGCTATGAGAATCCCTGATGTAAAACAATCCCTGCTCTGCTTCCATCCACATGTCTAGTTAGGCAAATTTTCATAACTTCACCGTTTTCGTAGGAGAGTTTTCTGTATTAGAAGAGTGGGATTGAAACAATTACCTTTTAGCTCAGCGTGGTTAGGCCTTCCTTGTAGTCAAATGGCAAATACGCACTCCTTGAAATGGTTTCTTTTCTTTTGTTTTGTTTTCTTAGACTTATAAATTTGAAAAGAATGCAATTTAAAAAGTGATTTCTCACAAAGAGTAAATATGCCTTTTGCAAATCAATTTTTGTAACAAGTTATTTATATGATATTACTTAATAAACTGGTTTTTTTTCTAACTTGTTTTTTTTTTCAATTCTCTCAAAACAATTGTTTGTAACCACAGAGATTTTTTTTAATGTACATGCTAACATACTTTATCTTTCTGAATCTGGTGTTTTAACCTCTCAGATATCTAACTAAAGTTGTCTTGTTATATAATAATTAATTTGTAAACAAGCATTTCTCCCAGCCAGCAATATGTAATATCAATATTGCCTTATGCACTTATACTGCTGGGACATCTACTGTTATTTATGGTATTGCAGTATTAAGAAGAAAGCTGTTTATCATCATGGTAATTGTTTCAGATAAGAGAGAGAAAAGAGAGAGAGAGAGAGAGAGAGAGAGAGAGAGATATCTAAATCTCCATCCTCTATTTTATTTCCATAAAAACAATCCATTGTTATGGACCTCTGATTTAAAAAAAAAAAAAAAAGAAAGAAAGAAAGAAAGAAAAACAATAGCCAGTTCAGAGAGAAATAAGAATGAAATTCTTCCAACATTCTGATACTATGAGTAAATAAAATGTCATTAGCATATTCAGAGCTATAATATTTTACATGCTTGTTCTTTTTTGAACTGCCTCCTATTTCTACAGAGAACATTTTATAATTTTTGTAACTGGGAGAATTCATAGCTTTGCAAAGGAGGTTTTCGTTTATTCATTCATTTAGTCTGTATCTATTAGCTGTGCCACTGCATGCTGTGGAATATTTGACAATAAACCAGATCAGTATATTCTCTCTACTCTCTGGAAGCCCGTTGTCTGGGAAAAGAGATGAGCCCCTACGGTACACACTAGAAGGTGCCATGGAGATTTCTTAAGAGAGATACTTAAGAGAGTGTTCACAGGAAGAAGCCAGTGTTTCTTCCCAGGTGAGGGATGAGGGGAGGCCTAGGAATTAAAAGGATTGAGATAAAGGGAGAAAAGAAATCAAAAAGCATTATGAGAATGAGAAAAAAGAAAGGAATGTTTAAGGAATGGAACACGTCTGAAGTCCTCAAAGGACGTTTAAGCAATGCTAAAGTCCCCAAAGGGGAAAATCATATGACATCAGAAAGCATGCATACCACAGAAGCTGACTTTTGTTGTTTAGTTTTTGCTTTTGCTTTGTTTCCTTTTTTTGCTATTTGGTTTGAAGTTAGCTTTGTCAGAAACAAAACCCACAGAAAGGAATAGATGCTGGTAGAACCACACTTTTTAAAGGATATGTATATTGTCCCTACTGTGAGCATAATGTTCTAGAGCCAAGAACCTCCACATACCTTGCCCCCAACTCTGTACCATCCCCAGAACTGTGGCACTCTTGAAACCTAGACAGACCAGCAGAGTCTGCAGGATGCTAGAAAACTTCTCTGCCTTCATGGTAGCACAGGTGGTAACTCAAGGTAACATCTCAAGGATCTAGTTCAGGAAGCAGAATCCAGGCAGATAGCTATCTAGATAGGGAAGGCCCTTTCTAAACATCATGACAAACTTCCTCCTATTATAATTATTAGTATATATTAGAGTAATTAACCCTGTGGCCATAACGGACAAAATCTGCATAAAATTGATTTCTCACTCTTATACAGTTCAGGGTGGCTATGGCCTCTTCTCCAATTGCACATTGCTTCCAAGGTAATCCTGGCACAAAGAACTCAAGCCACAAGGTCCTCAGATATCTGGGAAGAAACTGGGAAGTGAAGACTAGCACATGAGTGTGTGTTGAGAACTACAAGCCTCTGCCACTTATAATTTCAATCTCTGCCAATCTTGCAATGTATTTCCCAAATTCCCCCCAGTTTCAGTCACCATAATAAGTCGCATCTTATAATAATAATGAAATGTTACCAGAAAAGAAAGTAGAAAGTCATTTACAAATTCAATCTTGGTTTCCAATTAAAAACTCTTTTGTCAGGTGCTTGACACCATCCCTAACTTCAACACCCTTGCAGACATTGCTGACCAATTGCTGCACTTCACTTTCATGGATTTCCTAGAAATAACCTTAGAACCCCCAGGGGAATACCCCAGGCAGCCATCAATAATAGAATAATGTTGACCTATGTGCCACTCCAAACCTAAGGATTAAATTCTCTAGTCAAACCTTGTTTGACTAGAGGGGTGGGACAAGGGTTGGTGGGTACTGGGAATTTAACCCAGGGGCAATTTACCATTGAGCTACATCTATATTTTTGATTTTGAGACAGGGTCTCACTGAATTGCTTAGGACCTCCCCCAAATCACTGAGACTGGCTCGAACTTGCAATTCTCCAATGTCAGTCTTCAGAGTTGCTAGGATTACAGGCATGAGCCACCACACCCAGCAAAACTTGGTTGTTTTTTTTTTTTTTCATTCTAAATTTTGTTAACTACTCAACTATCAACATTTGGGAAGAACCTTCTGGTCTTGGGATTGTCAAAAGTTTGTAATAATTAAAGAAACTAAAAGTTTAAGCCTACTGTTACATTAAGTCTTTTATTTCGCAAATCTGAAAAAGCAAGCACAACGCATCTCCTTGTTTAGACAATTCATTCATATTTTAAGTTAACATTGATTGGAGCATCTCCCCTTGGTAACATTCTAAACTTTTATAGTCATTTTGCAAAAACCATTTGAGAACCTACCCTTGAGGCATAGGCCAATGTGAGAGGAGTAAACAAGACAGATACAAACCCTGTTTTGTACATACCCTTCCATCTAGGGCCTCCACGATTAATGTCCCGTTATTAACTGGAGTTTGCCTGCCTAAACATTTTGTATTGAATGACACCTTGATTCTTTAGAGCACTTTTCTAGGTTTCATGTTCCCAAATTCAATACTTTTCCAAATATGCTATGAATAGATATGGCTCTTTAAAAGAAGTAGATCGTCTCCTACTTCTCGCTATAATATACTTATTCCTTTTTTTAAATGTCTCCCTTGACATATTAGATCATCTTTATTGCTTCCTGAGCCATTTAGTCTCGAAAACTTAACTTTTAAAGGTGAACATGTCTTGTTTGCACATTGGTACAAAAATGTCTTCGTATATTCAGTAAAGGATAGATTTTATTAAAGCTTTTAACTTTGCTTAGCTGCCTGATAATAATGCCTTACTTTTATACAGCACTTTAAAAATAACTATCATATATATGCTTAATATAACCCTCATAAAATCTCAATACAATAGGTTATATCAGTCCCATTTCAGGAACAAAGAAAATAAGGTCATTCTCCTTTAGGTCCCCATCACAAAAATTCTAATTAAACTCACTACCTTTAATGTGAGTTCTGCAATCCCACCATCAAACCCCACATTTCCCCTTTGTTTGCATGTCCCATCCATTTAAGTGGATATTTAATGGGAGAAAAAGAATTTTTTTTTCATTCATACAAATGCAGACGGCTGCAGATTCTGCTGATGGCTGCAGCCCTACAGACATTTCTCTCCATGAAATCACTCTTAACGGCCTGTGGGAAAAGGGGGGAAAAAAGGGAAAAAGCCTAAAAAGCAGAATCTTGCCTATTAACCCCAATAATCCACCTAATTCTTATTATAAAATTGGAACTGTGTTGCCAAGAAAAAAATATCCCCGAGAAACATCAAATTTCACCCAAAACTGCAAAAGCTCTAATTGTGTACATAAGAATAATTGTGACAATATTGATAATCCAAACATAACAAAGTCTTATAAGGGAGAAGGACAAAAATTAGAACTTCCTGTCTCCCTTAAAGCCATTCAGATTCCATAGAAAATGGAGAAGATGTTATAGTTTCAATCTTGAAAGTCTCCCAAAGGCCATGTGTTGATGGCTCGGGCCCCAGGCCCTGGCTCTATTTGGAAGTGGTGAGAATTTTACTAGGTGGAGCCTAATGCAAGGAAGTTAGGTCATGGGGGTGTGTCTTTGAAGGGGATATTGGGACCCAGCTCCTTCTCCTCTCTCTGTTTAGGTTTCCATGAGGTGAACAGTCCTTCTCTGCCACAGCCATGGAGGACTGACTCACCAAAGGACCAAAACAACAGAGTCAATTGGCCATGGGCTGAAACCTCTAAACCGTGAGCCAAAAATAAATATTTCCCCCTAAGGTGATTATCTCAGGGATTTTGTCACAGTGATGGAAATTGCCTAACACAGAGGTGAAGGGGGAAAGGTGTTTTCCCTGGCCATCAGGACCCACTGAATCCAGTTCTAGTGTGGGGTTGGAAAAAAGTCACAGAAAACCCAGCTGCACCATCAGGTGGGCACAGGTGTGAGAGGAGCAGTAAAAATCTTTGATTATAAACTAAAACAAGTATGTTTTCCTGATAGTTCTCTAATTGGACTTAATTTCTATTTGGAACCTTGATTCCTGTGAGCAGCAGAAACTCAATTTTGGCTCATTTAGGGCTTCTTTCCACAAACTTCCCTGACATTACAGCTCTATCTAAGGGCCTAAGATAATGTAAAGTTTGGGGTGAAGAGAAAGACACAGTCAAAGCTTAAAGCTAATCTGCTAAAGAAGTCAAAAGGAGAAGATGGATTACAGAAAAAAATATGGTAATTCTCTGTATTAACCATCCCACCCATACCAAATTGAAGAGACAGAAGTTTATTGATTAGAATTTTTATGTTATTGTCATTATTTCTCATTCTCAGAAGGTCAGGATCAAAAGCTTAAGAGAGACACCTGATTCTTTCCTGACTTATGGCCTTAGCAGAGATGAAAAAAAGAGCTAAAAGTCATCTCAGAATGTCGGCAGCTTATTTAATGCTGATTTATAACAGTATTTCCTTATGTTTTACCACCTCAGACACAATGAACGATATTCAATTATAACATTAGTATATGTTAAATAGTATATTAAAGATTGACCCAATCTTCATTGATTTCTGAATACCTCTTCTATGATGAGGACTTTGCTACCTACTTTATGTGTAAGATGAATATTGTTTTTCTTTATTATAAGAAGAGCACAACAAAGTGTTTCTGACTTGTCAATACATTTATATAAAAATCCTGCAGTTACAAAAATTAAATCACAATTGAAGCTATATTTAACAAATAATT